CTTCCTTGTTGGTCTCCCATCCAAATACTAACCAGGGCCGACCCTGCTTAGCCTCTGAGGTGTGAGGAGATCGGACTAGCCTGCGCCACCCAGGTCAGGGTGCTGTGGGTGAAGGGAGCTTAACTCTCCTCCCGTTGACTCAGTTGTGGTTGGTCTCCTCAACTCCCCGGGCCTAGGCAGAAGTGGACTTCCTTGTTGGTCTCCCATCCAAATACTAACCAGGGCCGACCCTGCTTAGCCTCTGAGGTGTGAGGAGATCGGACTAGCCTGCGCCACCCAGGTCAGGGTGCTGTGGGTGAAGGGAGCTTAACTCTCCTCCCGTTGACTCAGTTGTGGTTGGTCTCCTCAACTCCCCGGGCCTAGGCAGAAGTGGAAGGAAAGGGGTTGGGGCCTTCAGCTCCCCTCACAGGACCCCTCAGGGCCAGGATGACCACCACCACCTCTGACACCAGCTGCTTTTTAGGTGAACGGGGCAGACAGGACTGCTCCTTCGGCCTTCCGTGGTTCCCATCTCTATCCCAACTGTTTCACCTTTCAGTTTGGGCAGCCTCTCCTCCGCCCCTGTAAGATCACACACTCCCACAGGCCTTTGATCGGGGCAGAAGACAGACACGACAATGGCAAATATGTGACCTTTTCTTTCCCCCCCTCCCTACTTATCGTCGAATGTTAGGACACGGCAGAGCTCTTCTTTGAAGACGTCCGTCTCCCGGCCAGCGCGCTGCTTGGGCACGAGAACAAAGGATTCTATTACCTCATGGCGGAACTGCCTCAGGTAGGACGGCCTGGAAACCTCACTGCCTGCAGAGAAATGCCACAAAGGCGTGATTTATTGTGTGAAGGGGGTGTTCTTTGCATGGAAAAGAATGACACAGTTCTGGTCCAGATCCATCTCTGAAGTGTGGTGGGATTAATGGCGTCGGTGCCCAGATGTATCAATCACAATATTCTAGATATAGGGAAACACCAAGAAAGGTTTTCTGGCTTATTAATCTGCACTCCTGAGTGTGTCTCTCCCCCCATCATAAGAGCATCAGAAAAGCCTTGCTAGATCAGACCAGCGGTCCATCTAGTCCAGCATCCTGTCTCGCACAATGGCTAACCAGTTCCTCTGGAGGGCCAACAGCAGGGCACAGAGGCCGAGGCCTTCCCCTGACAAAAAAATATGATGAGCCCTGTTGGATCAGACCAGTGGTCCCTCTAGTCCAGCATCCTGTCTCACACAACAGCCAACCAGATCCTCTGGAGGACCAACAACAGGGCATACATAGAGGCTGAGGCCTTCCTAAGAACATAAGAAGAGCCCTGCTGGATCAGACCAGTGGTCCCTCTAGTCCAGGATCCTGTCTCACACAGCAGCCAACCAGATCCTCTGGAGGGCCAACAACAGGGCATGGAGGCCAAGGCCTTCCTAAGAACATCAGAAGAGCCCTGCTGGAACAGTCCAATAGTCCATCTAGTCCAGCATCCCGTCTCTCACAGTAGCAAACCAGTTCCTCTGGAGGGCATAGAAGCTGAGGCCTTCCTAAGAACGTAAGAAGAGCCCTGCTGGATCAGACCAGTCTCACACAGCAGCCAACCAGATCCTCTGGAGGGCCAACAACAGGGCAGAGAGGCCGAGGCCTTCCTAAGAACATAAGAAGAGCCCTGCTGGGTCAGACCAGTGGTCCATCTAGTCCAGCATCCTGTCTGTTTCTCACAGCGGCCAACCAATTCCTCTAGACAGCCAACAACAGGGCATAGAAACCAAGGCCTTCCCCTGATGTTGCCTCCTGGCTCTGGGATTCAAAGGCTTAGTGCCTCTGAACATGGAGGTTCCCCTCAGTCACCAGGGCTAGTAGCCATTGATAGACTTATCCTCCATGAATCTATCTAATCCCCCTTTGAAAGCTGTTTATTCCTGCAACCCTCACAACATGCTCTGGCAGCGAATTCCACATGTTAATCACTCTTAATCTATTTTAAGGAAAGGCTCCTGATAGCTGATATGGCAATTGCCAGTTGTGAATTCATGTTTGAAGAGACAAGAAACTACGTGAAACAAAGGAAAGCTTTTGGAAAAACGATCGCCCATCTGCAGGTGAATACTTTCGGAATGTTTGCTTGTCCTGTTGTGTTTTTAGGTTTGTCTGTATCCCACAGAGTTTACCTCTGTGTCTGCATCCGGTTGTGTGTAGGGGGGCGTCCATAGGGATTATATTTACCATCCTGGAAATCTCAGTGTTTGTTTTAAGTTTTTGTGCAGCCCTTCGATTTAGCCAACCAGAACCTCCATGATCAGGAGCATGCCTCTGACGCCGGTAATCTTCCCCATCCCTTGCATGAGACAGTTCTCCTAGGGTCCTCTGATTGGCTGTGGATGAAAATAAAGTGCTAGATGCTATGTGATTCTTCGGTCCGACTCAGGCGATTCTTGCATTCTTAACCTGCCGAGAAGCAGTTAAGGATTAGGCAAATGGTATTTTGGAGTCCTGAAAACAAGGTGGAGGATGAACGATAGACATGTGTGTTTGATGCATACAGTGAGATTTTTATCAAATTTAATTATGCTACCAACCAGTGTTCCCTCTAAGCTGAGTTAGTGTGAGCTAGCTCACAGGTTTTTTAGCCTCCGACTCACACATTCTTCTCTTAGCTCAGGAAGGATGGCTCCAAACTAATTTATGCGGTAGCTAAATTGCTCGCTCATAACGTTAATGCCAGTAGCTCACAAAGTAGAATTTTTGCTCCCAGGACTTCATAGCTTATATGGAGCATTGTGTGCTACCAACATATACATTGGTTCTTACGAGTTTGGAAATGGTAATTTGGTGAAAATTCACTGTTCAAGATGTGTAGCACCAGTTCCTAGGGATCCCTGCGACAGGGAGGGACTAATATACCAGTTCGTAGATGCATTTGGAAATGATCTTCTTTCCGACCTGTCAGCTGACAAAAGAACCAGAAATTCTTTCTTTGCAAGAGGTGTAGCCATGAAACGGCTATCATGGCTGACCTTTGGTCACCCAGTGAAGCTCCTTGTGCCGTGGTATTGACCAAATCTTAAAGAGACTGAGCCAGCAATCTTCTTTATAATGTACTAACTTTGTATATTCATGCTTCGAGGGACTTATCTTCAGCTGTTAAAGAGAATGTGTGAGGTCCTCGCTTATTGGGGAGACTGTTTCTCCTTTAAAACACACTCTGTGTACATGAACTTGGTAGATTTCTGCTGCTACCAGGAATTAAAAATTCCAAATCTCTCTCTTTTGGTCGAATGACCTAGGGTCTGGGCACTTCAGAGGACTATGTGGCCTTGAGGAAGGACTATTCTGATTGTTGGGATAAGTTTAAACAAAAATGATTTATTTAATAAAGAACAAAATAGATTTCTGGTTATTTTGAACTGCTGCTGAAGAAAGGAACTTGTAAATATAACTGGCAAAGCTTGGTGTCTCAAACAGTCTCTCAAACTCCAAACTCCACTCTGACAGGCTTAGACTCTCTCATATATATAGCCACACAGGCTAAACTCTTTGTCTTATTCACACAGAATAGATTCAGACTCTCATAGTCACACAGACTATGCTCTCTCTTCAAACTTCACACACAGAATCCTCTCAGAGATACCACTCCTCCCTCACATCACACTTGTCTCCCTCTATCACTCTTCTCATATTACTGCAGTCAAACTATTTAAAGAAACACACACACCAAAAATGGAATCATTACAGAATGGTTTTTTCCTGTTCTTACAGCATAAAGAAGATTGTTGGCTTGGACCCTTTAAGATTGTATGCAGCAGGGTTTATGTCCCGCTTGTAATTGTATGTCTTGTAGTATAACTACACACTTTGTACTTTATTTGCACTTTACATGATAGCTTACCTAATATCGCTATGAATATTTCTTTGCAAAAAACAGATTTTGTTTGTATTCTTCAAGGTTGCTTTTGTATGTTTGATCGATTCTATTATTGGCAACCTTTTCCTTGCTTGTTTGCTCCTTGTTGTCAAAGTAATGTTTTTAAAAGTCTGCACAGCCAATCAAATTTCCAGTGGCCAATCGAAAGCCTTGCTGGGAGGCCCCACCCACATGGCCCCGCCCACTTTGTATAAACACTTCACGGGCACCAGGAAAAGTGTCACCAGGTGTCGTGGCGCCCAGGGCACCGCGTTGGGGATACCCGTTATAGAGAAAGTCTTCTCCCAGTCCCCCCGTCCCCCCTAATATTTTAAAGTTCTTATAAAAGTCTCTCTTTTTCATTAAACCACTCTCTTTTTTTCCTTTGCATATTGAAAGACAGTACAGCACAAGTTGGCGGAACTGAAAACGCAGGTTTGCGTAGGCCGGGCATTTTTGGATAGCTGCCTCCAGCTTCACTCGGCAAAACGCCTGGACTCTGCCACTGCTTCGATGGCCAAATACTGGTACGCCTGCAAACAAAACTGGCTATTTGGCAACCGGGGGGGGGGGAGATAGAGGATTGGTATGTTGACCCGAATGGACTTTGCAAAAGAATCCTGAGAGCCAGTTTCGTTTTGGGAATATTTAACTACCATTGAAAAGAGACCATAACTTGACCTTATGATAGAGACCCGAATGTCGTTGAGTTCACCGCAGCTTACTTTCCAAACACACGCTTGGGTATTTGGCCGCTATCGGTTTCCTGAATCGGTCCAACTTCAGGGTGAGAATGTTGCCTGGTGACGTCTTACGGCAAGCCCTGACCTGAGCCACTTCTTACAGTTCCGTTTTTCATTAGCCAGAAAGTGCCCCGGGCTGCTATTACTGTTACACATTAACTCGTCTTTCACCAGACTGAGTTCGACGAGTCACAACCACAAAGGGAATGCTTTGTCCTGATGCCAGACTAAATTAACCACGTGGGGGAAAGAAACCAGATGTGGGATCAGGAAAGAACAGAAAACGGGTCTTTTTATTAGCATGTACCCATAGAAAACCTATAGAGAAAGTGAGATAGACCAAAGGCAAACAGAAGCCAGGGTATAACTTGGGAGTGATTCGGTTTAGCTACTAAGCAATGGAAATCATTCCAGTCTGCGAAAACTCGATATTCTTACTCAGCTCTTTGTAGAACGCTCAAGCATCATCACATCTATATAACTTCAGTGTTTCACCTTGTCCAATTCATATCGTTCCTTTTGATATCGTTACAACATTTATCTCCTTTTCTAGATAAGAATAAATAAGGGCTGAATGACTCTGATTTGTGCCTGAAAAAATGTGAAATAACTTGGGGATGCTCTGGGAATTTCTTTAAACATTTAAAAGGGATGGTTAAACAACAATTAATCTAGCATAACCGACTAAGTTCAATGTATTATGAGTAGCTTTTTGAAAATAGCATGGTGTCAAGCTGATGTATGATCTCCTACTCTTGGGTTTTTAGCTAGTTGTGGATCTTTTTCTTTATCCCCTAGATGTAGTTCCCTGCCTTATATTTTCTGTTGTAGTTTTGTAGTGTGTAACAAAAAAACAATACAAACCTCCCCCCAGGGGGATGAACCCCCCCAAAAAAAACATTTATCTCCTTTTCTCAGAAACAGAGAGAGAGAGATCGCATCGCTGCATGGGTTTTCTGCAGAGTTTAGATGTTCTTGTATTCACATAGAGCTTTTTGTTCATTTTTATTGCTAACTGGAAAACCTGACTAGTCCCAGAGAACTTGTGTATTCTGTTCTAAACCAGTACTGAAGATCTTTAGAATCAATTGCCGTGAGATTCAGGGTTAAGCTGTGGTCGGTTCAGTCTTAGCCACGAAGAATCCTATGGATAGCACTCTGGAAAGATATTACATAAAGTCAGGTTGTCATGATTATTGAACACCCTGTGCTGTGTTTGAAACAGTTCCTTTGTAGAAGTTCTGTGTTCAGTTCATAGTTTTGAATGTTGCAAGCTATTGGTTCAAGATCGGTGGATGCTGGCTGTTCTTTTTCATTTTTGTTGTGTATTCAAACCTCACGGCAGCGCCCAGAGTTGTGTTGAAATTGGGTGGGATGATGGCTGCTAAAACAGCTGTAGTCCCTTTGAAGAGCAAATGGCTCCCCTGTAAAGAACAATTGGAACTGAAGAAGAAGAGTAGGTTTTTATATCCCGCTTTTGTCTACTCAAAGGAGTCTCAAAGCGGCTGACAATCGCCTTCCTCTCCCCACAACAGGCACCTTGTGAGGCAGGTGGGGCTCAGAGAGTCCTGAGAGAACCATGACTGGCCCAGGGTCACCCAGCAGGCCTCATGTGTCTCAAAGTGGCTCAAAATCCCCTTCCCTTCCTCTCCCCACAACAGGCACCCTGTGAGGCAGGTGGGGCTGAGAGAGTCCTGAGAGAACCATGACTGGCCCAGGGTCACCCAGCAGGCCTCATGTGTCTCAAAGTGGCTGAAAAATCCCCTTCCCTTCCTCAGAGTCCTGAGAGAACAGTGACTGGCCCAAGGTCACCCAGCAGGCTTCACGTGTCTCAAAGCAGCTGAAAAATTGCCTTCCCTTCCTCTCCCCACAACAGGCACCCTGTGAGGCAGGTGGGGCTGAGAGAGTCCTGAGAGAACCGTGACTGGCCCAAGGTCACCCAGTAGGCTTCATGTGTCTCAAAGCGGCTGAAAAATCGCCTTCCCTTCCTCTCCCCACAACAGGCACCTTGTGAGGCAGGTGGGGCTGAGAGAGTTCTGAGGGAACCGTGACTGGCCCAAGGTCACCCAGCAGGCCTCACGTGTCTCAGAGCGGCCGAAAAATCGCCTTCCCTTCCAGCCCCCCAACAGGCACCTTGTGAGGCAGGTGGGGCTGGGTGACTGGCCCAAGGTGACCCCTCAGGCTTCATGTGGTGGAGGAGTGGGGAATAAAACCCAGTTCTCCAGATTAGAGTCTGCTGCTCTTAACTACTACACCATGCTGGCTCCTGGTACCTAAAAGCTCAGTCGTTTTTAGCAATGTCCTGGACTGTTTCCTCTCTAGGGCTTCTGAACTCCAAAACAGTGTGGCTACCCAGTGTGTCCAGCTCCATGGCGGATGGGGGTATATGTGGGAATACCCAATTGCCAAGTAAGTGCGGTTGTTCATTCGCCTTAGCTGATTCTGCTGCCTCGTTTGACGAACTGATCATCCCTACAGATAAAATACTTCCACAGGAAAAGACTTGCGCTTCCCCAGAAGTTAAACCGTTTTGCTGTTCTGCTCTTTTAATTATTTGATTTATGTATTTAAAACATTTACTAGCCGCCTTTCTAGCTCCGGAACTAAAGGCCACAAGCAACAATTATATAACCCCCCCCCCCCCACATAAATGACCACAATTTAAAATCTCCGCAATTCGGATTGCCGATAACTGAAGTCACACGGCACCATCCTAAGCAGAGTTACACCTTTCTAAGGCCATTGGAGTCAGGGAGCTCAGAAGGGTGTGACTCTGTTTAGGACTGCCGTGTAAATGAGTCAGATGGAGTCCGAAATGAAACTGTCTTCAACTGCCTCCCGAATTTCAAAAGTGTAGCGGGTCAGGCACAGCTCCCTCAGAAGTAGAAAAGAGCCAGAGTCCAGGAGCATCTTAAATACTAACAAAATTTGTGGCAGGGGAGGAGCTTTCCTGACTCACTCCTCACTTCTTCCTATATAAACCCGGTGAAGACGGAGGTCCTGTGCTTGAGTTGGACTGGATCGGGGTTAGGGCTCCCGCTCCCGACCTTCGACAGGGCACCCCTGGTGCTAGCTTCGGAGGTTAGGAGCTTAGGAGTGCTCCTGGACCCTACCTTAACGATGGAGGCCCAGGTGGCGGCCACTGCCAGATCGGCCTTTTATCATCTTCAGCAGTTGGTTCCTTTCCTTGACCGCAGTGACCTAGCTACAGTGATCCATGCGACGGTCACCTCGAGGCTAGACTACTGCAACGCTCTCTACATGGGGCTGCCTTTGTCGCAAATCCGGAAGCTACAGCTGGTGCAGAACGCTGCGGCCAGGTTGTTGGTGGGCGTCTCGGGCTGGGAGCACACCCGACCTGTGCTGAAAGCGCTGCACTGGCTGCCTATAGCATACCAGATTCGCTTCAAAGTGCTGGTGCTTACCTTTAAAGCCCTACATGGCCAGGGTCCGACTTACCTGAGGGACCGCATTTCCCCATATATTCCCTAAAGAGCACTTCGGTCAGGGTCACAACACCGGCTGGTGACCCTGGGCCCTAAGGAGACCAAGCTTGTGGCAACAAGGGCCAGGTCTTTCTCAGTGGCGGCTCCTACCTGGTGGAATGGGCTCCCGGAGGAGATCAGGGCCCTGCGGGACCTTGTGCAGTTCTGCAGGGCCTGCAAGACAGAGCTCTTCCGCCAGGCTTATGAGTAGGAGCCGCCATGGCCACTTACACCACCGCTCCTTATAGAGAGAGATCGCTGGGGGGTTGGGCAACATCTTTCCATTACCCAGCCTTCCTCCCTGCTATGCATGATGTTAGGAGTTTATATGTGCATCCGTAGAATTGATTTTAATCTGTTTTAATTTTGTATTTTGTAATTTTGTATACTGGACGCACTTAGTGCCCTATGTGAGCCGCCCTGAGCCCGCTCGCGGGGAGGGCGGGGTATAAATGCAATAAAATAATTAATAAATAATATCTGAAGAAGAGAGCAGTGACTCACGAAAGCTCCTCCCCTGCCACAAATTTTGTTAGTCTTTCAGGTGCTCCTGGATTCTGGCTCTTTCCCACTGCTATAGGCAGACTAATACGGCTTCCCATCTCGATCTGTCTCCCTAGGAAGGTTGTTCCACAATCGTGGGGCTGCTGCTGAAAAAGGAGCGCTCTCATACGCCCATCCGACAGGCTTCTGTGATTGGTGGGGCAGTCAGGACGGCCCCTCCTGTGATCTTAATTCCCGGGCAGGAACATACGGGTGAAGACTGTCATTCGGCTACCCTAGTCCCAAGCCAATGCTTGAACTAGGCTCGAAAAGATAAAGTGAGAAAGCTGTATCTTATGTAGGGGTTGCTATCCTCCTGATGGGGGTGGGGTTCCCCCTGATTTGGGGCCCCCCAATCCGATGGGGGGAGCCCTGCCCCCGAAGAGCCTTGCCGGGCGTGCCACGCAGGGAACGCTCTATTATTAGGCTAAAAGCTATGGTGACCATAGAGTTTTTGGCCAAATGCTAGAGTGTCCCCCACATGCCATGCCCAGTGTGATGATGTCACTTCCGGGTGATGTCATCACAGTGGGCATGCAAAGCACACGCACCAGAAGATCCTAGGGAGCAGCATGGAGCCCCCAGTCAGCAGAGCAGTAAGCACCTGGCAACCCTAATTTTATGTTTTGATGAGGCCCCCACCATGTTTTCCCTTTACTGACTGATTTAAGGTAACCTTATGGCTGAGTCTTATTTAATTATTTCTTTGGACGTGTCTCTTAATGTTCCTTAGCTAAAAGCAGGCAGCATGTTTTGGTGTGGTTCTGTAACATGTGCAAAATATAGGCTGAAAACGAACTAAAAACCCCAGACGCCGGAGCTTTTAAAAGATACAGGCTGTATCATGGAAGTTCCATGTTCTAGGATTTGTAGCTTTTCCTGGCAGAACTTTCTATCTAGTGCAGGGGTGTCGAACTGATTTGTTACGAGGGCCGTATCCGACATAAATGCCACTTCGTTGGGCCGGACCACGTGTGCCGTAAAACATAATACCAGGTACTAGAGAGATAAACTGTATAAAGGACAGAACTTGTTAAGTTCTGAGTTGTCGAATCCTCACTGCAAGGCCTCATGGGCTGGGAGGGGGGGGTCCAAAGGAAAACCCATATGGACAGAGTAGAGAGACAGCAGTGTAGCACTGGCAGATGCTCCCGTTGTGCAGCAGATGAAGTTGTTCTGCCATGCTGAAGCCATGATTGGAGTTGCTCCGCCCACTCCCCTCGAGCAGTCTTCTGTTCCCTCCCTTGCACTAATTGCTCGCAGGCCGCATAAAAACCCTGAACGGGCCGGTTCTGGCCCCCGGGCCTTATGTTTGACACCCCTGATCTAGTGCATTTTATTTGTTTTTTAAATCCTTCTCCTCCGTGAAGGATCTTGGGATAACAGACATGGGTTCTCACAACAATCGTGTCGGGTAGGCTAGAGTGAAAAACAATAACTGTGTTTAGAAGATAGATGTAGGTGGGGGTGGCCGTGTTGCTCTGAAGCAGCAGAACAAAGTCTGAGTCCAATGGCACCTTTAAGACCCACAGAGTTTCATTCTGAGTATCAGTTTTTGAGTGCAGGCACACTTCTTCAGCGTCTGCTTGTTCTGTTTTCAGAAGTAGTTCTTTTATGTCTTCCAGTCCACTCACTCCATCACTTCTTTTCTCCAGATGTTTTGTAGATTCTCGCGTCCAGCCCATCTATGGTGGTACCAATGAAATAATGAAAGAGCTTATTGCCAGAGACATTGTAAGTGATAAATAGGTTGCTGGTTATCCTGGTTCCCGAATCCAATTGCTGTCGGCCTGGAGTTCAATTATACATGGAAATGACTCTGGAGGAAGAAACTGTGCCTAGCTGAAGAAGAGGAAACGCTGTTATTAAAAATACTGTGCAAACACCGAAACATATCACCCTTGTTTCTTTTGTTGACCTGCAACTCTGTCATTCGGCAGAGGTGTGATTCCAAAAGACAAAAAAACTGTGTGATGGTATTAACAGGCAAAACAAACTAAATTCTGGGTATTAATCTGAACTTGGATCCTTTTATTCTAGTGTAACTCAGTCTAGCCCTAAGCGTTAGAATGGAACACACACAGATTGGAAGAATTGCTATTGTTATTGAAAAGAGGAAACCGCTCTGAGCTGGAAAGATGCAGTAATGGAAAATCCTTGGAAAGGGTGAGACGCCAGCCTGTCCCTGACACACCCTAATAAAAAATGTATAGTTCTTCTAACAGCCTTCACATATCTGTATAAACCCAGAAAGTACTTGTCAGAGCTGAGAAACGATCCGGGATATTAATAAACTTTACACGCAACCAAAGTAGCCTGATGCCAACTTGCATCTATGTCAGGGGTGGCCAAACTCGCTTAACGTAAGAGCCACACAGAATAAACGTCAGATGTTTGCGAGCCGCAAGACATGAAGACATATTACACGTTTTTATTGGGAAATATGCAAATTCGCTTTTTATTAACATTAAATTAGACTGTGTGAAAGAACCGTATGAGGCTCCCGGACTGCAGTCTGGCCACCCCTGATCTATGTCATACGAGATGATAAATGAAAGAGAGTAATTACACACCCCAAACAGCAATTTCTAGTAATACTTTCCTAGTCTTTGATACCTGTTCAGTTTGAAATAACTACCTGAAAATACAAAGGGCATAGGGTTGTCAGCTCTGGTTTGGGAAATGCCTGAAGATTTTGGGGGTGGAGCATGGAGAGGGCGGGGCTTGAGACCTCAGCAGGGTATAATGCCATACAGACCACCCTCCAAAGCAGCCATTTTCTCCAGGGACACTGATCTTGGTCATACATAAATCAACTGTAGTAGTGGGAGATCTCCAGGTGCCACCTGGAGATTGGCAACCCTAACAAGGGCCATTAGTGTTCCAAAATGCATTGCAAGTTGGCGATAAAAAGCGGTACCTGCTTGCCATGTTCATAGTGTGTGAATTAGTCTGCAAAGCATTCTTGGTGAATTTGCGGGCAGCCATCACATGTTCAGTGTTTCGGTGAAGGATAAAATACATTTTGGTGCTTTCCTGTTTTTCCTTTTTGTCAACCAATGACAAGGTAAAGGTTTCCCTTTCTCGAAAGCCAGTCGAATCTGACTCTAGGGGACGATGCTCATCTGTTTCCAGGCCGAAGAGCCAGTGCTGTCCAAAGACCTCTCCATGGTCATGTGGCCGGCATGACTAAACGCTGAGGTGCACGGAACGCCGTTACCTTCCCACCGAAGCGGTACCTATTTATCTACTTGCAATTTCTTGCTTTCGAACGGCTAGGTTGGCAGGAAATGACAAGATAGGCTGGGCCTAATTTCAAAAAGGGAGTGACTTTTGCATTCAGTTGAGTGTACAACGTAGGGATTTGACTGTTCGGCTTTTTAGCTATCTAAATTACCAAGGACTGGCAAGATACAGACATGCCAGAAAGCAATCCTACTTTTTGCCTGAATTACTTGATGCCTGCAGGTCGGTAGAACTGTGATCCGTTCCGATTGTAACCAGCTGTTTTGATAGCATCTGTTTCAGGAGTAAGTCCCCTCCCGTCTAGGTGTTCATAAGGGCTTCTGGCCCAGTTTTGTTAACTTAACTCCATGGTGTTTGTCCAAGCGAAGAATCAATCAAATGTATATATTTCAGCCACAGCTTTATGCATTCATCTTTACACATTTGACTGTGAACGAGAACTGTAAGGGGAATTCTTGTGTTGGTTTAGAGCTCCAACTTCTCTACAGATGCAAGAATCTCGATTTCTCGTTTGGTTTGTACAGCATTTACGGACAATTACATCCCCCCACCCACTGTCTGTCTTTTAGCATTGCCCAGATTGTGGTGGAATTACACAGGAAGCCCAAGATTCTTAAGTGTCAGAATTGCTAAGCTTTGCAAGCTATGGCTTCAAGCAGGGGTCCAAAACAGTCACTGGTAGAGCCTCTGCTTGGCATGCAGAAAGCCCCGGGTTCGATCCCTGGCATCTCCAGTTAAAAAGACAAGGCAGTAGGTGGTATGAAAGACCTCTGCCTTGAGGTCCTGGAGAGCCAATACCGAATAGACCATCCCGTGAAGCCAGCCGGAACTCCGTTCCTGTGCGTTCCTGCCCAAAAATAGCCCTGGTTTTGCGAGACAACAGAGAAAGCCACTTGTGGTTTGCCTGCAGTCTGTGTCTCTGCTTCATCTGCCTCCAGGCTGAGGGAACGCCTGTAATCTCTACACACTTCCCCTCCCCCCAAAGTTTAGTTTAAAGCCATTCTATCAGTTGGCGGGGGGGGGGGGGGGTGTTAGAGAAGAGGTTCAGGACTGGTCTGCTCCTAATATAAACACTGGCCTAAAGAGCATTTTGCCAGCAAAATTCAGAAAAACGCTGTACTCTTCCGGATTATATCATCTGTCTGAAATTCCTCATTTCCATCACCGTAGCACAACTTGTTCTCCCTGCACCCCCGCAGACCAAAGTTCCCTTGGAGATGCTGCTTCTGCGGCACACACACACACGAGCATGAAGGGAAAATTAAAAGCCTATCAGCAGAAATGGAATTTTTCAAGAGTTTGAAGTTTGATGTCAGAAGTGAATTTTCTCCTAGGTTGTGGTCACACGCGTGAGATAAAACGGTGTGTGGGGGGAAGCGAGGCTCTTCCCTCTGGAAGAATTGGACCCGCAGTTGCACGATCTCCCTTTGAAGCAGCGGGCACAGTGCGTGATCAGACATAACTGCGGGTGAGTTGGGTTTTTTGTGCTGTTTTCCCCCCATGCGCTTAAACGAGGAATCGATGAATTGCACCTTCGTACTGAGGGCTCCCTGTGGAGTTTGCAATGATGCGCATACTGCAAAGGGGGGGGAACAATGGTACGGAGTCGGGATGGCCTGATCAGGCATGAGAGTGCGCTGGAGCGATCAGACACGGGAAGGTCCGTCCATGGCCCATTGCAACTCATGTACTACCGGATTTTCCCCGGTGTCTTTTAACTCCGCTTCTGTGGTGGAGCAGAACAGGTTGCCGACGGCTGCGGGGCGCTTCCGAGTTGTTGCCTGATCGCGCCCTTTAAATCCGCCTGGCATTTGCACCTATGCCGGGTCTAATTGTGCGTATGATCGCAGCCCTAATGTAGTAATAATAATTCTGGCCTAGGGCCCAATGCGTACGTCCCAGGCTAGCCTGATCTCAACAGCTCTTGGAAGCGAAATCTGGCCAGTACTGGGATGGGAGGCCACCAAGCAAGTCCGGGGTCGCTATGCGGAGGCAGACAATGGAAACCCCCCCTCTGAACATCACTTGCACTGAAAACCCTACAGGGTCGCCTTGAGTTGGCTGCCACTTTCCATCGTCGGGACCACTCGTGGACCTATTTTCAAGGCTTTTCCTTGATATTTACAGATTGTGTAGTTACCATAAGCAAATTCTGTGTTGTGTAGGTCTGACACCTTTTTTTTAATAGGACAGTGAAACAAGAAGCATTCAAGGAAATGACTATGGCTTCAAGCAGGGATCCAAAACATTGGTAGAGCCTCTGCTTGGCATGCAGAAGGCCCCGGTTCGATCCCCGGCATCTCCAGTTAAAAAGATGAGGCAGTAGATGATATGAAAGACCTCTGCCTTGAGGTCCTGGAGAGCCACTACTGAGTAGACCATCCCGACCCTGATGGAGCACTGGTCTGATTCAGAATAAGGCAGCCTCTTAGGTGTGTCTCAATGGTTTTGCGCAGGGCTTTTTTTGTAGAAAAAGCCCAGCAGGAACTCATTAGCATAATAGGCCACACCCAACAGCAGAAACTCATTAGCATATTAGGCCACACCCCTGACAGCACAATTCATTGGCATATTAGGCCACACCCCCATGTTACCAGAAGTGTGCTCATCCAGCCACACCCACCTTTTGCTTCTTCTTCTGTTTACCCAGGCCTTTTTTGTAGCAGGAACTCCTTTGCATGTTAGGCCACACACCCCTAATGTAGCCAATCCTAATGAGTTTCTGCTGTCAGGTGTGGCCTATTATGCTAATGAGTTCCTCCTGGGTGTGGCCAACTTTGAAGCCAGCCGGAACTCCGTTCCTGTGCGTTCCTGCCCAAAAATAGCCCTGGTTTTGCGAGACAACAGAGAAAGCCACTTGTGGTTTGCCTGCAGTCTGTGTCTCTGCTTCATCTGCCTCCAGGCTGAGGGAACGCCTGTAATCTCTACACACTTCCCCTCCCCCCAAAGTTTAGTTTAAAGCCATTCTATCAGTTGGCGGGGGGGGGGGGGGGGGGGTTAGCATTTTATGACACTCATGGCCCGGCCCAACAAGGTCTCATTCATGTCAGATCTGGCCCTCATAACAAATGAGTTCGACACCCCTGTGCTAAAGCATAATACATGGGGTTAACCACATAGTATTAACAGCAACAGATGTCCCAGGTAAATCTCCATTTCGACCCTTCATCAGGCCGTAATCACGGTAAAGCCAGGAAAGAGTTGAAGGGACTAGGACAGGACTTGCACAGGCACTTATCCTCTGCACTCCACCGCTCAAGTGTTTTACCAGGTTAAGAAGCGCTACTATTTCCCTTGATACTAAGGCCTGTTCAGTGTTTCGACCGGCTCCACAAAGTCAAAAGCCTTGTCTGTATTCCTTAGAACTTACAGTGTTTTTCAGATATAGTATATCACACCCACTGTATAGCCACTTTTGGTTACACACAATGTTCCCTCTAAGCTGTGGAATCTTGTGAGCAAAAAATCTATTTTGTGAGCCACTGGCATTAAAGTTGTGAGCAAGCAATTTGTCTACTGCATAAATTAATTATTAACCACAGCAACTGATGTCCCAGGTAAATCTCCATTTTGACCCTTCATCAGGCCATAATCATATGGTAAAGCCAGGAAAGAGTTGAAGGGACTAGTGCAGGACGTGCACAGCCACTTATCCTTTGCACTGCACCACTCAAGTGTTTTACCAGGTTGAGCACTACTATTTCCCTTGATACTAAGGCCTGTTCAGTGTTTCAACCAGCTCCACAAATTCAAAAGCCTTGTGTGTATTCCCTAGAACTTACAGTGTTTTTCAGATATAGTATATCACACCCACTGTATAGCCACTTTTGGTTACACAGCAATATTCAGAAGGCTTTTGCATCTGTTTAGAGAAGAGGTTAAGGACTGGCTTGCTCCCAGTATAACCCCCAAATTGTAACAAGAGGCTGATAACTTTGAGGACCACAGGAATACTCCTGAGGAAGACACTGACGAAACGAGCTTATATCCGGGTGCTTGTAGTGACACGATGAGGATGTACTTCTCTATGATGTGACATAAGATTTATATATTGA